TTCCTTTCCTTTCCTTTCCTTTCCTTTCCTTTCCTTTCCTTTCCTTTCCTTTCCTTTCCTTTCCTTTCCTTTCCTTTCCTTTCCTTTCCTTTCCTTCCCCCGCCCTGCCCTGTCCCTCCCTTCCCCTCCCCTCCCCTCACTTTCTCTCTTTCTCTCTCTCTCTCCCTCTCTCTTTCTTTCCTTCGTTCTTTTTGTGCTATGGGTGGAAGATAGGCTAGAGCAGAAAGACTGCCCCTATAGTCAGAATCTGTCTCCTTGTGGTATTCTTATGTTTAGTTATATTTTGGTGTCTATATCCCTCTTCCACCTACTCAGAGTAATACTTGAGGGTCTTTTTAGTGTCCAAACTTCTTCTAGGGGATTGTGTTTGTGGAGACAGCTCCTCCTCTGTAATCTGGGAGCTGAGTCAGTGTTCCAGACTGCTTTGTTCTTTTCTCTGTGCTGTCTTCAGTGTTTCGTGTTTCTCTAGTTTTCTTGTTGGCTCTTTCCTGATTCCTGGAGCTCTTACTCCTTTTCTTTCCTGTAAGCTGTTGTTTTCCAGGTGTCTGGAAACTAGACCCTTGAAAGGCCATTATGCATGGCCAAGCCTCACTCCACCATCTTCTCTTCCCCACCACTTCAGCACATATTTACTGCCAGGCCTGGTTTTCTTGTACTGTGGAGCTGTGCAGGTGGTGACAGCAATAAATCCATGCATGCACCCTCCAAGTGCACACACTTAGCCAAAGAATTCAGTCACAGTGGCTGTGGCAGCTGACTCATGGGTTGTTTCTTTGGTGTTGTGTCTAAAACCTCATCAAGAGACTCGAGATAACCTAGGTTTTCATCCTATGTTATATTCTAAGAGTTTTATAGTTTTAGATTTTACATTTAGGCTTGTGGTCCATTTTGAGTTGATTTTTACAAACCGCGTAAACTTTCTCACATTGCCCACCCAACACTAGTCTTTTCTTCAACTCTTCAGACACCCAAGTGAGCATGCTGTAATTCCATTCTGATACTTTTTACCTGGAGTTAACATTAGACCGTACAAGTTAAGGAGTCAACCCACTAGATTGGCCCTACTACAGATGTCAGTCTGAAGTCCAGGTTGTGGCCTGTGCTTCCAACTGACTGGCTAGCAATCAAAGTGTTATGGTTTATATCTATGTGTCCCCCAAGAGCCTCGTGTGCTCTTAGGTGGGGCTTTTGGAAGGGAATTCGGGTTTTGGGGGTGTTGTAGATGACTATTGGAAGGCAGGTTCTGGTTGAAGGAGCTGGATCACTGGGGCCATGACTTGGGAGGTATATCTCCCTCTCCCCTTCACTGTTGCTGCTTCTTGGCTACTGTAACATGAGTAGTTTTCCTTTGCTATGTCCTTCTGCCATGCCTGTTTTACCCTGGAGCTAGCTGAAAATGAACTGAAAAATGAACCAAAATAAACCTCTCCTTTAAGTTGTAGGTGTTGAATGCTGTGTTTTAGTGAAAGGAAAGTAACCAAGACAGTTCTGGTACTGAGAGTGGGGTTGTTGCTGTGACTGCACTTGACCATGTAGGTTAGATGCCTTTGGAACTGCTTCACCAGAGGAATTTGGAAAGATCTGAAGATTCTACAACTCTGGAGAAACTGTAGAATTTTGAAAGGCAAATTTAATAAGAGATTCTGCTTGGAGCAGAGAAGACCAGAATGCTGATGGAAATGCAGACAGTAAAGGCCAGGTTCAGGAGGTTTCAGCTGGGAACAAGGACTCAACAGACAGTTGTACTTGAGACCATGGATGTTACACTCTTGGAGAAAGTTTACATTTTGGTCATATCCTAAGACTTTGCTGGAGACTGAAATTAGTGTGGCAGAGTAATTAACCTGGTGGAAGAAATTTCAAGGACTAGCATTGGGACTGTGGCATAAACACTGTGGGGGTTTTTAGCCAGGTTTATACAAAGCACAAAGCCCATTTAAAAGACTTTCAGTTTTTCCAGAATGAGAGTGCCTATGAACACGGGCCAGAGGAGAGCTTGGTTGCTGAAGTGATTATCATTAAAGAGAAAGCAAGCACTTTGTATCAGGATAATAGGAAAACTGGCCCAAAGACAGGGCAGGAAACAGGAAGACTCCTCCCCTCAAAGGCTCAAGGGTGCAAAGCTGTAAATCTTTTAGTTGAAAAATGAGTCCCCAGTTGGGCTCTAGAGCAACTACTGGCTCTGCAGCAAGGCCCCACAAAGGTTGGAGACCCAGAGCCTTCAGTAGCTGTTCTAAGAAGCTGGAAGCCACAAAGCTTGAAGGACCGAGAATGTAGCACCAGTACAAGAGCAAAGCCCTGGAATCTGCTTAGAGTAGCTGGTGTAAGTCCACACAGAAAGGCTGAAGACACTGGAGCCTGAAACCCACAAGCAATGGCAGCAGCATAAAGTGCACTCGCTCAGGCACAGTGGAGCTTCTTGAAGGCAGGCTGGCTGCATCCCTCTTTCCCCTTCATTCCATCCAGGCTACAAGCCCATTGGACGGCGCCACCCACAATCAGGGTGGGCCTTCTTTGCTGTTTCCTGGCCTACATGGCAGTCGCCTCTGGAAACACCCCACAGACACACCCAGAAGTGGGCTTGATTAATCTGCTGGGCTTTTCTTGATCCGGTCAAGTTGGACAATCACAATTAATGGTCACCATCGGCCAATATATACAGAGTATGTTTGTGTGTACATATCTGCACAAGTTTATCAGCATGTATATATTTATAATCTGTGTGTCTCTGTGTGTATACACACGTGTATCACTATGCACACATTTATATACAGTTGTCCCATTTACCCACAGTTTTTGGTTTTCATGGTTTTAGTTGCCTGTAGTCAGCTGTGGTCTAAAATGATTAAATGGAAAATTCTAAAAAGAAACAGTTTATATTTTTAATAACTATAAAAGTATATTATTCTAATTGTTCTATGTTATTATTAGCTGTTTTTGTTCACCTCTGGCTGTGCCTACTTTATGAATTAAACCATGTATGTGTATGTGTACAGGAAAAAGTATGGCACATATAGGGCCGGGACTGTCTGTGGTTTCAGGCACCCATTAATCAGATCACTGACATATAAGCGGGACTGCTGTATCTCAGTAGTAGATCATGGAGCTGTTACTCAGATACCTGGCGTACCATTTTAACCAACTTGATAGGGTTCTCTCCATCCATTCTATAAGTGATGATCCCTCCATAGTTCATATAGGGGAAATGATGCAAGGCCATGGCTGAGTGGAGAACTTTGACTTCAGCAGACAGATCAACATCCTATATGCTGTGTGACTTTGGCAACTCATCTCACCTCTCTAACCTTCTATTTTCTGTTCTGTAAAAAAGAGTGTTTAGAGTACTAGGGCTCCTTTGTTGGTGCTGTGGCTCTGAGGAATAAATAAAAATATCCAGGCAGAAAGTACAAGTATAATGCTTGGCATATAATATATATATAGAGATATATAACATAAATGTTAAATAATAATACATCATAACTGTCTTACTACATTACCTTACCTAAACCAAGTCTCAGATATATTGACCTTGTATGTGTTAAATTCCTGTATCACAGGCTAACGATTGTATAATGCGGGGAGTAGACATTTAATGACGCTAATTCCGTGGAGTTTTTCCTTTTCTCACAGGTCAGGTGGGTGTTGCCATCATGACTGTCATGATTGTACACAACTGTTGGTACCTTTACCTCCCTTATTTGACATGGCTCTACTTCGATTGGTGGACCCCAGAGACAGGAGGCAGGAAATCTAACTTGATCAGAAACTGGACTTTCTGGAGACACCTTAAGGACTATTTTCCAATTCACGTGAGTAGAATTATTGTATGCAATGTTATTCTGAGTCAGGAGAAGAGTGGAATTTTGTCTTCATTGTGTAAAGCATTTTCCTTTTCAAAAGGAGTGTCTTAAGTCCATTTTGTGCTCCTATAATGGAGTCTGAGTACATTACACAGAAAATAAATTTATTTTGTCATAGTTCTGGAAGCCAGAAGATTCAGTATCAAGATGCCAGCATCTGCCAAGGGCCCTATTGTTACATCATCCTATGGCAGACGCAGAAAAGCAAGAGAGGGTAAGAGAGAACAAAAGGAGGCCAGACTTGTCCTTTTAGAAGAAGCCATTCCCTCAGTACTGGTGTTTCTCTATTTATTGCCCTCATGGCCTAGTTATGTGTCTCAGGCACCACCCCTAACACTGCACTGGGGATTGAGTTTCCCATACATATGCTCTTTGGAGGACCCATTGAAACCACAGCAGGAAGAAAGCCTACACTTCGACCTACATTATTAAAAGAGCTTTCAGCTGAATTTCCAGAATCTGGAAGGCTGTTTGTGAAGGGATCTGGGCTCAGAGGATAGCTTCGATATTCAGAAATAGCCCTAACCCAGGGAACTAAAATATGTTGTGTTCTCCACGTCCTTTTGATGTAAGAACTAATCACGAGTCCTTTTGATTTCACTGAAACTAACAAGGCGACATTTTATTTTTTATTTCAATATGAACATGTGACATAGCTCATCAAGACTCATGATTTGGATCCAAGTCACAACTATATATTTGCGTCTCACCCCCATGGAATAGTCACGGCTGGAAGCATGGGAAATTTTTGTGTTAATCGTTCAGATTTCCAGAAGCTGTTTCCTGGTTTAAATTTATATTTTCATTCGAATTCCTGTTTGTTTCTGTTCCCCCTCCTTCGAGAATATGTGTTAAGTCTTGGTAAGTGCCTGCAGGTCACTGTTTCTACAGTGTGTGAGGGTGGTGGGTGCACACAGAAAGCCCGTGTGGGTTATGTGTCCTTTGAGTAAAACCCTCTGTCCTCCTCCCTACCTGGCACTTAATGTGCTCTCTGGATGTGCCTTACCTTCTCTACTGGAACTTCAGTGCCAAGACCCAGAGAGATGGTGTTGTTTTTCATTATTCCATCCCAGTATCTAACAA